ATGATGATGATGATGATGATGATGATGATGATGATGATATTGTTGTGTATTAATGTGATACTTTTTGGCTGTAATGTCGCAGGTGCTGACTTTATGAACATAGGAAAAGCCGAGTGCAATATTGGAAAAACACAATTCATAGGAAATCTGCCGGTTGGAAGGAAATGTTTTGAATCCTCCAGAACATCTGTATTTTTTCCCCAACTTTTAGTTGTTCTAACTGGAACTTTTAAATATACATTACATATTTGGTGCTAAAAGACGCTGTTAAAATCACATTCCTGCTAACGTTCTCCTTCTTGATTTAAACTGCGGAAACATTAAGGGAACATGGGCTGTTCAAATATTCGTTAAAAATATGCTAATGGCATGTTTGTTCCGCATGCAAGCAAAGTTGAGAAATCTTCCTCTGCATTATTAGCTTGGCTTGATTGATGTACATTTTAAAACCCGGAATAAAGTTCTTTTGCATCCTCCGCTGCATTTCTTTGCTTTAACAAGTACATTTGAATGCAACCGATGCGTGTTTTAAATTCTTAAAAAACTCACTTTAAAAATCTTTTATTTTGTCCAATAGACTTCTCAAAAAGTGTAGAATGTTTTGTGTCTACACAGGTGTGTGTTCGGATACATGTGTGCGTTACAGAAAATTTGAGCTACTCTAGAGAAAACCATAGGGGGTTGAACGTTAATTTCGAAACAGACATTTTGCATATCTCTAAAAGCTTCGTCTGCCTTGAGCATTTTGCACTTTAGCTTGGTGTAATTGGGTCTTTCTTAACCAGGTTAGCCTATAGCACTTTAAAAGGCACAAGAATTCGGAGGATACGTTTAGAATAATAATACGGCTTCGATTTTTTTTTTCATCACAACTTGGCATAAATAGTGAAACGTGTTAATTCTCTTTCGTTTGATACGTCACAATAAGCCTGGAAATTTTGAGTCCATCTGCAGCAGTAAACAGTTTCAAATGCTCACAAAATGTTAATAGTTTACTCTGTATGTCACGAAAACCACTAAATCTACCAGAAAGAATGTCTGTGAAAATGTGTTCCCAAAAACCTTTTATGATAAAGATTAAGGTTTTTTGTCATGAAACTGTACTTTTGATAGAAAATTATTCTAAGTCTATTTTTAAGGGTATCTCAAAATAGTCTTCTACAGCTTCCACATGGGTGTCTCAGAACCGCTCACAAATTTGGGATGCTGTGGATTAGGGGATTAGGATGAGGGCCAATGCTGTTTGCGTGGAAGACATGAGTGTTATGTTTATTGTTTGATTTGTTTTGTTTTTGTTGTTCTTTTTGTTGTTGTTATTGGTGTTGTCGTTGTTATTGTTGTGGTTGTTATTATTATTATTGTTGTTGTTGCTGCTGTTGCTATTGTTGCTGTTGTTATTGTTGTTGTTGTTTGTTGCTGGTGGTCGTAGCATTATTTTTGCTGTATTCTGGTATTGTGTTTTTTCACAGCTTTTTTCTTTTTGCCTTAAAAAAATTCTTTGGAGAACAATGTGGGAACGTGTGTGTGCGTATGTGAGGA